AGACAGGGTTTCACCATGTTGGTCAGGCTGGTCTCAAACTCCTGAACTTGTGATCCGCCCGCCTCGGCCTCCCAAAGTGCTGGGATTACAGGCACGAGCCACCGCACCCAGCCAAAAATCTTATAACGTTTTAAGAAAGTTTACGAATTGTGTTGGGCTGCATTCAAAGCTGTCGTGGGCTGCGTGTGGCCTGGGGCCATGGGTTGGACAAGCTTGCTCTAGAGGGTAAAAATAAAGGCAATTCTGCAAATGAAGTCTTCCTCCAAGGAGCAGAAGAGAGAATGCATTACCAATGTGAAGGCGAAGATGAATCTCAAGCAGATGGAGGCATTCTGGCCACTACCCCTCCATCTTCCAGGGAGTCCTTACAGACTTCCATTAAGCAGAGGCTGGCATGGCTACAGCTGTCACTGGATTTTACCTTCACTGATGGCCTTGCTGTAGAAGTGGCTGCTAGATCTCTCTCCTTTACCATCATGCAGGAAGAGAATTTTGGTGATGAAGAGGAAGAACAAATGAGGTAGAAGAAAAGTAAGAACCAAGATTCACATGAAGTGATTTTAGGTTGTTTCTTTTGTGAAAGTGTTTAGCTTCAAGACTGGAGAGGGAATATGAGTGTACATCTACTATATATAAAGTTAAGATGTAAATTTACAGGAATAACCCTGGTTTGAGTAACTGATCTGAAATTAGTAGTTCCCTGTAAATGGCAGATCTTTCAGAAAAAAAAAAAGAGAAAGGTAAGGGCTCTATTAAATAAACTGTGGTTTTATTTGTGGTATAACTGATCAATCTTGGAAATAAGTATTTTTAATAAGAAATGAATGATCATTCCTTGCCAGAATTTGCTACCATAAGGTGATATGGATAATTGTGTTACAAGAACATTAACATTTAGTATGACTCTTTTTTACTGTATTCTTGCAGTTAATAACTACAGCTATTATGTTAATAACAAGTTGTTTATATTTTATTTTTGTTTATACTAGTCTTAAAACAAAGATCCAGGTTCTGAATAAAAAAAATTAATTCATACAATTGATACATGCTGGGGCTTGGAACTAAGAAGTAGTTTCAAAAGTACTTGGGTTATGACATTTCTTATGTTTCCTTATTTATGTGTGTACTTAGTAGTGAATTTTAAGATGTCCCAATGATCATTAAAAGAAAAACATTGTACCATTAAAAAAAAAGTTTCTTGCACTAAGCAAGGTTATGCCAATATCCTCTTACATTTTCACCTAATTTTTCAAATATATATTTAGGTATTTGATCAATCTGGAATTTACTTTTATATGATGTAGAAGAGTTTAACTTTCTGGGCAAAGGATATGAACAGACACTTCTCAAAAGAAGACATTCATACAGCCAACAGACACATGAAAAAATGCTCATCATCACTCGCCATCAGAGAAATGCAAATCAAAACCACAATGAGATACCATCTCACACCAGTTAGAATGGTAATCATTAAAAAATCAGGAAACAACAGGTGCTGGAGAGGATGTGGAGAAATAGGAACACTTTCACACTGTTGGTGGGAGTGTAAACTAGTTCAACCATTATGGAAAACAGTGTGGCGATTCCTCAAGGATCTAGAACTAGAAATACCATTTGACCCAGCCATCCCATTACTGGGGATATACCCAAAGGATTATAAGTCATGCTGCTATAAAGACACAAGCACACGTATGTTTATTGCGGCACTATTCACAATAGCAAAGACTTGGAATCAACCCAAATGTCCATCAGTGACAGACTGGATTAAGAAAATGTGGCACATATACACCATGGAATACTATGCAGCCGTAAAAAAGGATGAGTTCATGTCCTTTGTAGGGACATGGATGCAGCTGGAAACCATCATTCTCAGCAAACTATCACAAGAACAGAAAACCAAACACCGCATGTTCTCACTCATAGTAGGAACTGAACAATGAGATCACTTGGACACAGGAAGGGGATCATCACACACTGGGTCCTATTGTGGGGAGGGGACGGGGAGGGATAGCATTAGGAGATATACCTAATGTAAATGACGAGTTAATGGGTGCAGCACACCAACATGGCACATGTATACATATGTAACAAACCTGCATGTTATGCACATGTACCCTAGAACTTAAAGTATAATTAAAAAAAAAAAAAAGAGTTTAACTTTCTTTCCATCCAGACGGAGACTCAACGGTGCCACCATCATTCAGTCACCATTTTTTCCACATAACTGAAATGCCATTTTTATAATTTCAACTCACAGAATCCTATATAAGCAATACAAGAACTCTAGAAGCCACAAAAGATTGTAAAATGAGACATTAAAAACATGTTGTGTCCACTCCCCAAGAGGTATAAGACAAATCAAAGCAAATAATAAACTATGAAAAATATTGACAACATATATGACAGAGATCTCATTTGCTTAAGTTAACCCAAGGAGCTAACATCCAGCAATCAAAGTAATTCCACACCCAAGAGAAAAGGGGGCAAATGACTAGAATACATATTTGAAAGAAAAAAGTACAAATGGTGGTTAAAAATGAAAAAAGACACTCAAATCAAGAAAAGCGAATTAAAATGCACTACTCTTTTGTCCCTCACAATGGCAAAAATCATAGCAGATAATACACTGTGATTTCCCATTTATAGGAAAAGGCATTATAATGTTGCCAGCAATGCAAATCAGTACATTCTATTTGGAAGGCAATTGACAGTTCTGAATCAAAATTCAAGATGCATAAACTTTGACCTAGAAACTGCGTATCTAGAAAGTTATCCTATAAATGTTCTCACATGCACACAATGGGAATCTACTATACATTGCTATGTTGTTTATGGTAGCAAAAGACTAGGAATATCCTAAATATCTATTATTAGGAGAAAGGTAATAGTGGTATTACCATCAAATGAAGTATCAAGCAGCCATTTTTGTAAATGGGGTAGGCCACTGGTTTTAAACACTGGGTAATTTTATTCCTCAGGGAATACTTGACAATGACAAGAGATATTTTGGTTGCCAACACTGGAAGAGGGAGCGCTACTGGCATCTAGTAGAGAGTCCAGGGATGCTGCTACATATACAACGCACCGGAAGGCAACCCATGACAAATAATGACCTCAACCAAAATGTCAATAGTGCCACACTGAGAAACCCTGGTGTAGAGTTAACACAAATGAAAAGATCATTAAAAAAAACAAAAAGGACCAGAAAGACCAGGATGTACTGTAACTTGTTAAAGAGAGAAAGAGAAAGAGAGAGAGAGCACATGCAGGAGAGAACAAGTGATTGTGCGTAAGCAGAGAAAGAGATTCATGAGTTCAAGACCAGCTTGGGCAACATGGCAAAACTCCATCTCTACAAAAAATACAAAAATTGGCTGGGCATGGTGGCATGTGTCTGTAGTCCCAGCTACTTGGGAGGCTGAGGTGGGAGGATTGTTGAGTCTGGGAGGCGGAGGTTGCAGTGAGCTGAAATTGCACCACTGCACTTCAGCCTGGGGGATAGAGCCAGACCCTGCTCAAAAAACAAAAACCACAAAAAAGTTTTGTTGTTGAACAAAGCTTTTGTTTGAACTTTTTTACCACGTGCATCCATTGCTTTTGAAATGCCCAATGCAATTTGTTAATGTTCTATTCAGAATATTTTTCATATTTTGACATTTATATTCTTAAGGGAAACTGGTCTATGATTTTCTTTTTTGTAGTACCTTCCTCAAATTTCAGGTTAAGTGGCTTTACAAAATGAACCGGGTGACTTTTCATCTTTAATAGCCTAGAAAATTGGAACACAGAAATTATCTGGTCTTTACATTTAGTGAAAGGAGTAATTATGAAGGATTTCGGAGGGCAAATTTAAGTCTCAGTACCTTTTAGTCAAAACCCAACTACCAGGTATAATCTCCATAAACACTGGTACTACAGAGCAAGCAGATACAGAGAAAGTTGTTCATGAGGCACTGTTTACAATAGTAAAAAGAAATTAAAAACTTAAATATCCATAAATAAAGTTACACGATATTAATACATCCATACTATGAAATAGAAATTGAAACAATCTTTATATATCGACAAGGAACACCACCCAGAAAGTAATCAGGTGCAAAAGATAGGTATGGGAGTATGATGCCATTTGTGTAAAAGCATAAAAACAATACATATGCATATGTTTTTAGTTCCTTAAATTGATATAAATGCATCTGCCCCACCATTTAACCCAACCGTTAACAATGGGCTTCTCTGACGAGGAACATGGTACTGAGTGGAGAAAGATAGAATCCTTTGGGCTACTAGTTTTTTCTACACACATCAAAACATTATGCACAAAGTTATTATCATAAATATGAATGATGAAAAGACCAAGTGATCTAGAAATGAAGAAAGAGGAAAAAGCAAGATGAACCTATGTATTTAAACAATCTTCTGTGAGAAGGAAATGAAGAGAAGATGAGGTACAGTTCTCAGAAGAACAAGTAGAGAGCATGGTTGCTCACGCCTGTAATCCCAGCACTTTGGAGGCCGAGGTGGGGGAATCACTTGAGGTCAGGAGTTCAAAACCAGCCTGGCCAACATGTTGAAACCCCGTCTCTACTAAAAATACAAAAATTAGCCAGGCGTGGTGGTGGGCACCTGTAATCCCAGCTACTTGGAAGGCTGAGGCAGGAGAATCACCCGAACCCAGAAGGTGGAGGTTGCAGCAAGCTGAGATTGTGCCACTGCACTCCAGCCTGGGTGATAGAGTGAGCCTCTGTCTCAAAAAAAAAAAAAAAAAAGAGAAAGAAAAAAAGAAAAAGAAAAAAAAAAGAACAAGAAGTACAGAGAGGAATCTTTTTGTCTTTCCTCTCTCCTGGTGAGGGGAAGGATTAGAGAAACCAGACGCTGAGAACAAGTTGAATAGAAAACAGCCAGAGAAGAAGGGATAATTGGTATTTTCAAGTCTACTATATAGATTCCAAACCTTGCCTCAATTTCACTGGAAACAAAGTATGGGTAAATTAGGAACTCACCTGGGACATGGCCATCCTGTTCTGTTCTGGACAAAGGATGGAGATCTATAAAGGCAAAATTAGGAGAGTATACTCGGTAGGTACAGCCATTAGACCACCATTACCATCCTGATAATAATTACCCTTGTACCCTGGGGAGAATGATCTAAAAACATGACCTGGTAGCTCCAGCTGTTTCCATGAAACTCTACTAAAATCATGTAGGTTTGGCAAATGAAATTTTGTTTCCCTTACTGGACAGATGTATGACTTGTGTCTAAAGATACCTACTTTAGAAACCAGTTACAATTAACATCTCCTTTATCTTAAGAGTTCTATTCCTAGACATTTGTCATAATGAAACAATTCTAAAGGTGGAAAAGCTGAAAGAATGTTAACTGTAGTAATTTCTACCATTAAAATATTAATATGTGGAAGCAGCCAGGTGCAGAGGCTCATGCTTATAATCCCAGCACTCTGGGAGGCCGATGTGAGCGGATCACTGGAGCCCAGGAGTTCGAGACCAGCCTGGGCAACATGGCGAAACCACATCTCTACAAAAATTAGCCAGACATGGTAGCACATACCTGTAGTCCCTGCTACTCTGAAGGCTGGGTGGGAGGATCACTTGAGCCCAGGAAGTGGAGGTTGCAGTGAACCAAGATGGCACCACTGCACTCCAGCCTGGGCGACAGAGGGAATCTCTGTCTAAACAAAAAACAAATAAACAAACAAAAAAATTGGAAGCAACTAAATGTCCAGCAAAGAGGACACAGTTAAAAAATATGACACATGCAAAAGCAGGTATACTGAACAGGCTTTCAAAATGCTATGGAATTTGTTTTTAGTTCCTAATGTGTTTAAAAGCAGCTTCCAAGAAAGCAAGCGCATGTGATCTCATTTTTGATAATCAATATGCACATATATGACATCTCAGAGGATTTATTAAAATGCTGATGTTGGTTACTATTGAGTGGTGGTTTCAATTTTCTTCTTTTATTTGCATTTTCTCAATTTTTGATAAAGAATATCACTAGTAAAACAAAAATTAAAAATTATTAAAAATTACCTCTTATCAAACAGAGCCCTAGAGGTGAAAAGACCCTCTGCAAGTGTGTATGAGTAGGATCTCTTGATGTGGTTTGGAGGAAGGAGGCCAACAAGGGCTCAGAGGGCTGCAGGGGAGGAGAGGTGTGGGGCTGGGTGGGTAACAGCCCAGCACTGTCAGTTCTGTGAGGGGTTGAAAACCACTGTGCCTGCTCCCCTGCACCCGCCTCTTTAACTGGCCACCTACCCTGTTCCCACCCCACCACTTCCTCCTTTCTCACAATTTGCATTTTGATTACCAGGCTCCTCCTTCTTTGGCAGTTTTTCAAAAGAAAGTTCCAGCAAGGAGCTTCTGTGCAGAGCAACCATTGCATACTGCAGCAATCACTGCGACAGTATCAAGGTAACAGGGTTCAGCTTGGTGTAGCTTAGCAGGTCATGTCCCCCAGCCCACTTTCATTAAACATTGAAATAAGGCAGCAGAGCTGGATGACAGCATACTTAGAGACTACTCTGAAATTCTATAAACTAAAAACATATTTTCTGCACTTCGGTCAGGATGAAGGGACACTCGCATTTCCCCTGGAAGCAGGTGCCTGGTTGATGACGTGGGGCTGACTCAAAGTCAGAAAAAGCCAATGGCAAGAGAAGGAAGTGCATGGGTGCACAAATAGGTGTGCTAGGAGAGGCCAATCCTCTGTGGCTGGCTGTGATCCTTCCCAGCCTCATCCTGCCTTTGCAGCCACTACAGGAGGGCACCTGCCCCATGGAAGGCACCCATGCCTCCATTCACCTGTGACTTTCACCTGTTCCTCCTCCAGTAGGAATCAAACTGCACTGTCACATGGTCCTCGATGGCACCTGGAAGTTGAGCCAGTTTGCTCTGTCTCAGCTGAAGTGAGGGACAAAGGTCACTACGGGTCCAGCTCTTCTAGGACCTGCTGTCCTGTAACCTCCTTTCTCTGCCCTGAGGATCTGAGTCTGGACTCTGGGCTGAGGCTTCTCCTCCAACTCGCCTCAGCTCAGCGTACCTCTCTTATGTCCAAGGCGGCAGGACCAAGGGATTCAGAGACAAACACACCCCAGCTGGGGCCATCACTATAGCACCAGATCTCTGCCTGTGACCCAGGGAACTCACCTCCTCCTGGAGCCAAAGCCTAAGTCTTCTGAGACTAAGTGAGGAAGCCGGGGCACAGATAAACTGGAGTCTGAAGTCGGTGTAGCAGTGGTCTCAGGTCTGCACTCTGACCCTTGAAACACAATGACCACAGGAGATTCAATTAGCAACACCTATGCTCCCTTCCATGCAGTGAAGTTGAGTAAAATCCAAAGGTTTTTACCCAACAGAAGAGGGACAACGCCTCATTCTAGCTTTAAGAGTGAATTAACATTCATGCACAGCTCAATTATCCCCAGTGACGAAAACCCTGCTTTCCTGAGTTCGGGCTTTGGAACCAACTGATTGACTGCTGTGCCACTTTTATTCACTGAAGAAATGAGTGCCTTCCATGAGCCCGTTCTCCGTGCTGGAAATAACATCAGTGAACAAAATCTCAAAGTCCCAGCTACTGCAGAGTTTCTAGTCTAGCGGGGGAGACACACAGGAAACAATAAACATGACAAACAAAGCACAGGAAATGAAAAAGGATTCCTCGGGTTTGCTACCTACGTGACTTTGGACAGGTTGCCAAGCCACACTGAGCCATTTTCTCTCTATAACATGAAAATAATCATCGTAACACCTCACAGGGCTCCTGTGAAGATTAATGTGAAACATTTGCAAGGTTGCCTGGCATTTTTAGGAGCTCAGGAAACAGGGGCCGAGTGACTCAATCAGTCACTTGCTGGCCCCGAACCTCGCCCCCAGCACTCACGCCCACAGGCCTGCGGGTCTCAGGGAACCCGACTCTGGTCCTGGCTCAGAGGGTCCTGAGAGCAAGGGGTCTGTCTCAGGCGGGGAAGTGGCCTGGAGGGTGGGCTTTTGAGCTAGGCTGTAGAGCCACCCTGTCACCCACAAAGGCGTCCCATGACCCCACGGTCCCGTCAACCCCCGTCCCCCATTAAAACTATCACCACCTCCGCGTCCCTCTTACTTCACCGCCAAGAGCCTGAAACCTCAGAGACCGACGACAACAGCTACTGCGAACTAGGAACCGCCCGCCCGGGTCAGCCGAGCACTTCCGTTTCCCACCGCCCCCTGGGAACGCGGGATGGGGTCGGAGTGTGTCGCAGCGCTGCGCACGCGCAGTAGCACGGGGGTGGGTGCGCCACCGCCAATGGCCAACGTGGCGGCTTCCAGGGGCCCTGTGTTTCCAATAGTGTTCGGTTTGGGGAGAAAAGCCTGTGACCATTTTCCGTAGCGAGTGGTACAAAAGGCCCAGGGGATCATCCCTTGGGGCGAGAGGCGAGCGGACTTTCCAGCGGCCTAGCTCCCGCCCGCAGGGAGGCCGAAGTGCCCCTTCTCCGACTTCGTCCTCCTGCATCGCGACCCTGCCAGTCGCTGCGGCATTGGGTGTTCGCGTCCCTCTGTCCCGAAAGCCATTGTTCCCGCTTTTTTCCCCTCCTGGGAATAGGAAAAAGAGTCGCGCCTCCGGCGTCAATAGCGCTCGGAGGCGCGGCCGTCTAAGGTCCAGGCGGGTCTCAGGGAACCCGACCATGGGGCTGGCTCTCAGAGAGTCATGAGAGCAAGGGGTCTGGCTCAGGCGGGGAAGTGGCCTGGAGGATGGGCTTTTGAGCTGGGCTGCAGAGCCAGCAATCTCTTGAAATGAGGAAAGAAACCCTCATTCTGATTTTTCTCTACTCAGTAGAGGGGCTCCAATTCCTGAGATCCTAGACCCCTGGGAGAATCTAGATTTTACTTTTTTGAAAACGCACTGTAAAAAGCAGAGAGGTGTTTTCTCTGAGATTGCCAGCCAGTGGCAACATGGTCCCCTAAAAAGGCCTGTAGTAGCCTTGAGGAAAGTTTTCTGTTTCCCGTCTGGGCCTGGGGGAAACAGACCAAGTGTGTTCTTCATCCTTCTGTGGCTGCCTGGTCACCAAGCAGGCTTCCTTGGGTCAGGTGTGGCAGGGTCTCCACCAGGTACAAAGCAGTCCCTTCTGTGCTGGAGCCAACTGGTTCCAGACACTGTTTATAGATGAAAGTGTCAAAGCTGATCATGGAATCCATCAGATATGTATTTAATTTCCATTTAAACATGGGTCTTTCTCCTTTTTCTCTTTCTCCTCTGCAGGTTAACTTGCATTCCCCAGGTAGTTTGAATGAGTCTCAGCCCAAATTTGCAAACTCAGTACAGCCATCCCCTGGGAAGTCACCCTGTCTAAGCCTCCTGTACAAGTCCTAGGAAAAGAACCTGTTTTCCCTGGGGCATGTGAGCAGTGAATTATTGCTCATTCAGAATTTCATGTGTATGTGTTGCTGATGGCCAGGTTTAGAGATACCAACCTATTTGTTTTTAGAGGAGAGGTGAACTGATAACATTCTTTTGAGACATCACTATCACTAGGCAGGAAAGGGCTAATAGTATGACAGTGTCCTGGGGACAATAAACTGCAAACTACAAAAGCACCTGGTCTGTGGCCCTGACCAGCATCTCTCCATATCCTGATTCTGCAGGAACAGGTATTTCTTCAGAAAGAGAAGGGACTGATGTTTTAGATGTGACCAGATGCAGGGCACACCCTTATTGCCATGCCAGCATTTGCTATTCATGATGTTAGTATTCAAAAATTAAGAAACACCCTGCTTGGGACATTGGTGTCTAATAATCCATTGGAAGAGAAGACTGGAATCCACCACTTACTAGCTTCTTGGGCCTCATTTCCCCCTTTTCTCCCACAGCTGAGGACCACCTATCCTAGATGGCTGCTGTTATTGTTCAAAGGAACCTCTTTAGAGCCTCAAGCCCAGGAATAGTCCATGGCAGGCACCTGGTAAATGTCAGTTTTCACTGTCCTCTCCCGACACTATGAAACATGCTGTGCTCTCTGCAACTGCTCTTGTGGATTTCCATAGGCAGGAGAGTATCCAGTATTAAGTGGAGCTGGTATTTTCAGAAATGAAGCCCCTTTCCTTATTTGTGCCAGCCCGTTTTGTCTTGGGCATATGTGCATTGCATTATTGCCCACTCTGTATTTTATTTGCATCTGTTAACGATGGCCAGGTTCAGAGATACCACCCTATTTATTTCTAGAGGAGAGGTGAACTGATAACTTTCTTTTCTCGTATCATTATCTCTAGGTAGGAAAGGATTAATAGAGTTAGTGTGACAGTGTCCTGTGGACAGCATAGAAACCGCCCCAACCTCCACCCTCCCGCAAGCTGCATAAGTACCTGGTTTGTGGCCTTTGCCAGCCTCTCTTCATATCCCGATTCTGCAGGAACAGGTGCTTGAACATTAGGAGAAGGGGCTGAATCTTTGGGTGGGGTTTCATGAAGGGCACACCGTTATTGGGATGCTAGCATTTGCCATTCATGACACTGGCATTTGGGTATCATGAAACACAGGAAAGTTTTTCCAACCCCCACCGTATTGACTGTTGGGATCTACTAATCCATTAGAAGAGAAGACTCAAATCCATCACTTACTGACCCGTTGGACTTAAGTTCCCTCCTCGTTGTCATAGCCAAGCACCACCTGTCCTAGATGGCTCCTGTTTTGTTCAGAGGAACATCTCTAGAGCTGCAGGCCCAGGAATAGCCCTTGGCAGGCACCTGGTAAGTGGTGTTTTCATTTTCCTCTCTCCCACACTATGAAACATGCTGGTGCCCCTTTTGGACTTTTCCATACCGTGGACTTCCCTTTTTCCATTTCCTTGCACAGGTGTGCCTGTGCCTGGCACCAACTTTGCCCAGGATCACCACTTGTATCCACCTGCAGAGGCTTCTTATTGAGTTGAAATTTATTTTATTCCTGATGCTACAATATTATTTGCATTGATACCCAGTCCACAGTTTGTTTCAGTCATCCTGGTGCAGTGGGCTTTCTGAAATCCAGTTTGAGCCTCCCCTTATCAAAGGACTTGCAAGGTTGTCAGGAAGTTCCAGACCTCAGCAGCAGTTACTGCAAGGCACTGCTGGGCTTTTTCCACATCTGAAGGGCAGAGGTCCTGAGTAATTGCAGTGGGCAGGAGCTGAGTCATGCTTGATTTCTTGCTGTGGTTTGGCATGTTGCTGATGGTCCCTGGAACCTCCCTCATCCTAGATCCTTTCCCTCCAGTAAGTGTGGTGACAGGCCCACCAGGCAATGCCTTGATGACATTCCATTTTTTGAACTGTGTGAGTTCCTGTAGGGAAAGGAAAGCCAGTTACAAGTGATCATCTCTTACCTGGATGGCACTGCTCTGTATATGGCTGCTCTGTAGATTTTCACAGGGAAGGGAGTATCTAGAGTTGAGTGTAACTGGAATAGACAACAAAGGAATGGGGAATACATGCAGGGGAACTGATTGATTGCCTAAGATAATATCATGAAATCAATCTCATGCCTGTCTGGTGGTTCAGAGGTTAGAGCTCCAGTCTTTGAGTGACTGTGCCCATTGTTGAGAATTATGTATACTATGATAAACACCAAAGGTAGGAGTCTTCAGCTAGCCTCCAGGTGGCTCTATTTTAGAGGTCTCTTTCTGTTCTTGAAAGATAGTACAGGAAGTCAGAGTATAATAAGATGTACAGTGAATTTAGATGATGCCAGGCCTTGTGCTATGTGATTTACATTAATTACTTCATTTTAAAATCTTTTTTTTTTTAATACAGAGTTTCACTCTGTCACCCAGGCTGAAGTGCAGTGGCGTGATCTCGGCTCACTGCAACCTCCACCTCCTGAATTCAAGCGATTCTCCTGCCTCAGCCTCCCGAGTAGCTGGGATTACAGGCGCATGCCACCGTGCCCAGCTAATTTTTGTATTTTTAGTAGAGACGGGGTTTCGCCATGTTGGCCAGGCTGGTCTTGAACTCCTGACCTCAGGTGATCAGCCCGCCTCAGTTTCCCGAAGTGCTGGGATTACAGGCATGAACCACCGCACCCAGCCCATTTAAAAATTCTCAACGTCTGTCATTATTATGATACCCTGTCTACAGATAAAGAGACTGAAGCCCACAGATATCAGGCAACTCGCCAAAAACTTCATAGCTGATAAATGAACTCAGGATTTAAGGTTAGACAGTTTGGCTCCAGAACATACACCATTGATCTTGACACCATTCTGTAGTTATTAGAGCACCCTATTTACAAAAAAAGGATCAGGGTGATTACATGACTTGCCCAATTTGGACAGCCAGTGAGTGGCACAATTAAAACTAACACCTAGGTCTCCTGACTTCAAATCTCATTCTTTTTTCAGGCTGACATTTGTCTTATCCCAGGTCCTCTGGAGCAGTGCATCTCAGACTTGAATGCACATTGGGATCCCCTTAAGGATCTTGTTAAATTGGAGATTCTGATTCAATACTTCTGTAAAGGGCCTGACATTCTGCATTTCTAACAAGCTCCCAGACAATGCTATTACTGCCGGTCCTCAGACTATGCTTTCAGTCAAAAGAAGATTTGAGCAACCCTCTGGTTTAGCAGCTGTGGCTTCCAAGCAGGAGAATTTCCTTAAACGCATATCTACCGACACACACACACACACACACACACACACACACACACACACAAAGACACAGCAGGTGTGTTCTCTGAGTCTCACTTCTGAGACCCCTTAACAATTCCCTTCTGGGGTGAAGAGTCTGAGGCCCAAGGAGGGAAAAAAACTCTTCAGGGAGTCATTAACAGACTGGAGCTAGGACCCATTCCACTTGACTTCTCAGCCAATGTTCCTCCCTCCCCTGTTCCTTCCTCCATTGCATGAGGGTTTCTGGGGAGAACAGTAGTAAAGGAATGGGCATTGTTCAATGTCACATTATTCATGACTTTGCAGGAAAAAAACAAGGTGATCCTCATTCCAGGTCTTCTTGCCCGCCATGCTGTACTGAACACATGATTTAGCTGCCTGGGAGGATCGAACTGTACTGAGCCTAGGAGAAAGGTCAAAATGGTTCCCTTCAGAAATCTGCCTGCCCATGCAGCTACCATCCTGGGGAAAATGTAACTACAACAACCTCTCAGATGCTCAGACACCATTTATAAGCCCAGTTGCCTGCCCACAAACTCTAGGAATTACCAGTAGCTAGATGCATACTACAACTTTTGTACTACTATGGTTAGGTCAAATTACCGATTAGACCCAAAATTTAATGGCTCAGATACAATTTCTTTCTTGCTCACACAAGAATCAACCGTGGGTATTCCATATTGACAGGCAGTGCCCCTTCATGTAGACCCAGCCTGTTGTCATCTCTGCCCTCTTCAAAATGGCTTCCAAGGCGCTCTGGGCATCATCATTCCTGGAAGTGAGAAAGAATATGGATGACTATAGCTCAGGGTTTACAACTAGCTTTCAGGATCACCGTGGTCAGGAAATTGTTTCTGCCACCCAGAGGACAGAAAACTGCAGAAAGCCATTGCTGATAGCATGAGTATCCCATTGGCCCCAGCATGATTAGCTTAGAAAGGAGTTTAACAGGGTGCTGTGAAAACTCACATCTGCTCTTCCTGCTAGAGGAAAAGTATGGCTTCTAGCTCCCTTCTCTCTTCCAAATTTTCTTCAGAGATTGCATTCGCAAGGGAGTCTGAGAAATATTGTCTCAAGGCCTCCAGCCTCTGAAATCCAGGGAAGAGAATAAGAGTGGGAATGTTGTGGAGTGTCAATAGACAATACCTGGTGCATCTTTGAAATTCACATTAAAGTTGAAAGATTTGTCTCCCTTTTCTTCCTTCCAAACTGAGGTAGAAGACTGCAGAACCCTCTAGTGTCACTGCAAACTGAGGCATCAGCTGCCGAGGCAAGCAACAATAGTTTGTGTCATGAAATTTTCTTTTCCAGGTCCTAGACTCCCTGGGTATAAAGTTAGCCCTAGTTTATGCTCCCCAGTATTCTTGTGGCCCTGGTTTAAATGTGTCCCCTAAAATTCATGTGTTGGAAAGTTAATCCCCAATGGAACATTGTTTAGGTGGGGCCTTCAGTTTAAGAGGCGATTAGGTCATGAGGGCTTTGCCCTCATGAATGGATTAATGTGGCAGTGGGTTCGTTATTGTGGGAGTGGAGTTCTTATAAAGGATGAGTTTGTCCTCCTCTCTTGCTCTGTCTCTCCTCTGTGATGTCTTCTGCTATGCTATGATAAAGTGAAAAGGCCTTCATCAGATGTGATGTGGCTCTTCAGTCTTGGACTTCCCAGACTCCAGAACCATGACCCAAATAAATTCTGTTAACTAAAAATTACCCAGTCTGTGGTATTCTGTTATAGCAGCATAGAATGAACTAAGACAGAAAATTTGTACTGAGAAGTGGGGCAATTGTTATAACAAATACTTGAAAATGTGGAAGCACCTTGAAATTGGGTAATGGTTAGAGGCTGGAAGAATTTAGAAGAGCAGACTAGAAAAAGCCTAGGTTGCCGTAAATGGAGCATAAAGGTCATTTCTGGTGAGGGCCCAGAAGTAGACAAGAGCTGTAGCAAAAACCTAAATCTTCTTAGAGATTAGTTAAGTAGCCATTGTATTGTGTCATTCTTGCATTGCTGTAAAGAAATACCTGGCTTTCTGCTCCTCCTGTTCAACAGACAGCTGCATCTTCTCTTGCATTTCCGGCCGCATCTCTGAGACACCATGGGGAAGGTGAAGGTCGGAGTCAATGGATTTGGTCATATTGGGTGCCTGGTCAGCAGGGCTGCGTTTAACTCTGGTAAAGTGGATATTGTTGCCATCAATGACCCCTTCATTGGCCTCAACTACATGGTCTACATGTTCCAGTATGATTCCACCCATGGCAAATTCCATGGCACCATCAAGGCTGAGAACGGGAAGCTTGTCATTAAATGGAAATCCCATCACCATCTTCTAGGAGCGAGATCCCTCCAAAATCAAGTGTGGTGATGCTGGCACTGAGTATGTCGTGGAGTCCACTGGCATCTTCACCACCATGGAGAAGGCTGGGGTTCACTTGCAGGGGGAAGCCAAAAGGGTCATCATCTCTGCCCCCTCTGCTGATGCCCCCATGTTCGTGATGGGCATGAACCATGAGAAGTATGACAACAGCCTCAAGATCGTCAGCAATGCCTTCTGCACCACCAACTGCTTAGCACCCCTTGTCAAGGTCATCCAGGACAACTTTGGTATTGTGGAAGGACTCATGACCACAGTTCACGTCATCAGTGCCACCCAGAAGACTGTGGATGGCCCCTCCGGGAAACTGTGGCGTGACAGCCGCGGGGTTCTCCAGAACATCGTTCCTGCCTCTACTGATGCTGCCAAGGCTGTGGGAAAGGTCATCCCTGAGCTGAACGGGAAGCTCACTGGCATGGCCTTCCATGTCCCCACTGCCAACGTGTCAGTGGTGGACCTGACTTGCTGTCTGGAAAAACCTGCCAAATATGATGACATCAAGAAGGTGGTGAAGCAGGTGTCGGAGGGCCCCCTCAAGGGCATCCTGGGCTAAACTGAGCACCAGGTGGTCTCCTCCGACTTCAACAGCGACACTCACTCTTCCACCTTTGATGCTGGGGCCAGCATTGCCCTCAATGAACACTTTGCCAAGCTCATTTCCTGGTATAACAATGAATTTGGCTACAGCAACAGGGTGGTGGACTTCATGGCCCACATGGCCTGCAAGGAGTAAGACCCCTGGACCACCAGCCCCAGTGAGAGCGCAAGAGGAAGAGAGAGACCCTCACTGCTGGGGAGTCCCTCACTGCTGGGGGACACTCAGTCCCCCACCATACTGAATCTCCCCTCCTCACAGTTTCCATGCAGACCACTTGAAGAGGGAGGGGCCTAGGGAGCCCCACCTTGTCGTGTACCATCAGTAAAGTCCCCTGTGCTCAGCCAAAAAAGAAAAGAAAAGAAAAGAAAAGAAAAGAAAAGAAAAGAAAAGAAATACTTGAGATTGGGTAATTTATAAAGAAAAGAAGTTTAATTGCCTCACAGTTCTGCAGGCTGCACAAGCATGGTGCCAGCATCTGCTTGGCTTCTGGGGAGGTCTCAGGGAGCTTTTACTCATGGTGGAAAGCAAAATGGTAGCAAGCATGTCGTGTGGTAAGAACAGGAGCAAGAAATAGCAAGAGTGAAGATGCCACACACTTTTAAACAACCAGATCTTGTGAGAAGTCACTATCACAAGGACAGCACCAAGGGGATGATGCTAAACCATTTCTGAGAAATCCAGCCCCATGATTCAATGACCTCCCACCAGGCCCCACCTCCAACATTAGGGATTACAATTGAACATGTGATTTATAGGGGACAACATCCAAACTATATCAGTTGTGATCAGAATGTTGGTAGAAATACAGACAGTAAAAGCCATTCTGATGAGGTCTGACAGAACTGAGGGACAAAGTATTGGAAACTGGAGTAAAGGCCATCCTTGCTATACAGTTGCGAAGACTTTGGTGGAATTGTGTTCATGTCCTGAGACTTTGTGGAAGGCAGAACATAAGAGTGATGAAGTAGGATATCTGGCAGAAGAAATATCTATGTAGTAAAGCATTCAACATGCTGCATGGCTTCTTTTGACTGTTCACAGTAAAATGAGAGAAAACAAATGATTTAAAGGCAAAATTTATAATTAAAAGGGAAGCAGAATGGAGAGATTTGTAAAACTTCCAGTCTGGCATGTAAAGAATAAAAAAGGATGTTTGAGAGAGAATACTATGAGTGTGGCCAAGTCACTGTTTGCTAAAGAGATTAATATGGATAAAAAGTTCTATTCATCAATATAGTGGGAGAATGACTCCAAAGGGATTTCGGAGATCTTAAAGGCAAGCTAGGATTTTGAAAGTAGGGCTTCCAGAGAGTTCCCTGCAGGACCTCAGCATTCACTGCCCTGTGCCAACTTGGGACTCTGCCCCCTGAGTTCTGCACAGTGCTGCTCAGTCACCTGGCCATGGCTCAAGAAGGCCCAGGTAGGGCTCATCCTACCACTTCAGAAGGTACAAGCTGTAAATCTTACTGGCGTCCACATGATGCTAATTCTGCAGGCATTCAGAATGTAAGAGCTATAGGGCCATGTCAGATTTCAAGGATGTAATGGACAGCCTGGCAGCCCAGGCAGACTTGTCACAGCAGTAGAGCCACCACAGAGTCCCCCTAGGGTATTACTTAGTGGAGTCATTGGAGTGGGGCAGCTCCCGAGACTACAGAACTGTAAGGCTAGCAGCATGCAACTCCAGCCTGGGAAAGCTGCAGGCATGAGACTTCAACCAGTGAGAGCTCCTGGTGGTCTGAGCCCAGCAAAGCCATAGGGGCAGCACTGCCCGAGGCCTTGGGGGTCAAACCGCTACCCTAGTGTGCCCAGAATGTAAGGCATGAAGTCAAATGAGATTATTCTGGCTTCTTAAGTTTCAATATTATTTTCCTTCTTGGGTTTTGGACTTATTGGGGATCAGTTACCCCTTTATTACTGCCTCTTTCTTGCTTTTGGAATGAGAACGTCTGTCTTATGCCTGTCCTACTGTTGTATTCTGGAAGTAGATAACGTGTTTAATTTCACAAGCTCACAGCTGGAGGAAAATTTGCCTCAGGATGAATCATACCTTGAGTGTTACCCATATCTGATTTAGATGAGACTCTGGACTTTTGACTTTTGAGTTGATGCTGAAACAAATTAAAACTTTTTGGGTTATTGAGATGGAATGAATGTATTTTGCCTGTGAGAAGGACATGAATTTTGGGGGCCAGGTGTGGAATGCTACGGTTTGAATGTATCTCCCAAAGTTCATGTGTTGGAAACTTAATCCCTAATGCAGCAGTGTTGAGAGGTAGGATCTTTAAGAGATAATTAGGTCCTGAGAGCTTTGCCCTCGTGAATGGAATACTGCTATTGTCTTGGGAATAGTTTCCTGATAAAAAGATAAGTTTGATTCCCTTTCCTCTCCTTCTCACCCATATGATGTCTTCTCTCATGTTATGCAGCAAGCAGGCCCTCACCAGATGTGGCCCCTTCATCTTGGACTTCCCAAACTCGAGAACTGTATGCAAAATAAATTTCTATTTGTTATAAATTACCAGTTTGTGATATTCTGTTATAGAAACATGAAATGAACTAAGACACTTGTATACACTTGTACACATGTGTACTTGTGCATGTGCATATACATGCACTTGCAGACCCATATCTCAGACAGAAAATCTCCCAGTGTCACAGTGGAGAAGCTTAAAACATTCCTAAATCATGGGACAAAGGATGCTTTAGATGAGTTGGGAGAACTTCCTAGATTCTGCCCAAATGCCACTGGCCTCAGAGGCCAAGTCTGCAGTCATGGAGGCCTTTAGGCATGGAGCATCCTCCTGTGCACTGAGCTTGAAGGAAAATTCCAGGATTTCTTTTGTGTGGCACCTTTGAGAGCAGTCCCATCAATAGAAACAACCTATTCACCCTCCTGAGAGCCCCATCTACTCAGTGAACACTCAGTGAGCATGAGCAAACTATAATGAAGGAAGAGTTGTGTTTCCCAAGTTGGGTTCCTGATGAAGGAATTCTTGAGTCAATGATTCTGGCGTACAGGAATCTTTTGCTGGAGAAAATGAAGCTAAATGAGCTGGAGCAAGACTGATAAACCCATTGCCCTCCTGCTGCTGTTATATTCTTCCACATTCAGCCGCTGTTGTTTGTCAATAATTGTACTCTTTCTAGCTGAGGTCAGACAAGGTCTTAAAATCATTCTCAATGGTATGTTCTAGACTATCTCTACCAATCAGAATTGGCAAATATGTTGAACTGCATTTACCATGCCTGCCCAAGGGTAGCATTTCACAAAATGTGTTCCACAAAACATTGGTTCTCTGGCGTATTAGCAAGTATGATGTAAGAGTTCTGTAATTGCGAAAACTTGGGAAACATTGTATACAAATGGTTTTTCATGTTAGGACTTCTAGAACCTGTAAAATGCTAATTTACTCTATAGGTCTCCCATAATACACTTTCCAAGTGTGTCCCACTATAGAAGTTATTCCAAAGATCATATAGAGAGACTAAAAAGATTATTTGCTGAATAATAATGTGTCCTCTAGTTGTCTCAAAATGGGTTAAGTAGGATAAATGGCTGCTGATCCTCCAAATTGAATGAGGGACTGCTCATGATCTCAACTTCTCACAATGTTGCTGGGCAGCTGTCATTTTTAGCACTCCCCTGAACAACCGGCATCCAAGCTCAGATAATTGTCTTCTACTTACAATGGCACTTTCATGCTCTACCTATGAAAAGGAAGAGAAGTAGGGGATAGGGATCCTTTGCTGGTTCATCCAGTTGCACCCAGCCCAAGCATGTGTCTCTGCAAGATAACGAGGGAATGTGAGATCTGTGCTTTTTGCTGACCCATGCATGTGTGACCCTGCCTTCCTCAGTGGTACTTTCTGGTGATTGACTGAGACCTTTACTTGATAGTAGTGCCTAATGTGGAGTGATCATGGCAGAAAAGTTTCACTGTTTCATTCAAGGGTTGGGAAGCATCCTCTCTGAATTTGAGGACAAATCACCCATAATGCTCATGATCAAATGGCCTCATTTTCTGTGGCCCATAAATGTCCCTAAACTGACAGGCAATTTGAATTGATAGCCTTTTGATTGTATGGCCAGAATGTCTCTAGGTCACAGAAACACTCCTGAATGGGCAGTTCATTTGGCCCTAGGTAGTTAGTCACTGGGTAGTTACAATGTCTGGAGGCCACAGATGTACACCTGAATGAGCAGATAATTTGGCTACATCACTATGGTTAAAAAAAAAAAAAAAAAAAGAGGCTGAGATACAAGGCTGCCTATTATTATATTTCTCAGCTTTTCTATGTTTGAGCTTTAAAGATGAAGAGAAAGTGACAAAAGAGAGCCCACCCCCCACCAAATCTGGTCACTATTGTGGCAGCTGATGCAGCCCAACTCCTCAGATTCAATCATTATACAATGTACCAGACAGAGGACTTTTGGATAAAATCAGGTACAGCTAAAAATGTTACAATTCATGGAAATAATATTAAGACTTCTCCCAAGACTGGTAGTACCATGCAGGGCTGAAGAAATCTCTGGGAGACTGGATTATCTGTCAACATGATAAAGGGGTGACATTCATGCAGTTGAATGAAGCAAGTGGTGAGTAAAATGGTGGTCAGTACAGAACTCTGCAGCAGAATGGCTCTGGTGAGCATTGACCCAACAGACAACAGGAGGGATCAGATATGTCCACTGACATATCTGGAATATGTCATATATGTCTATTCCTGAAATGGGGGTTCAGGGGAATTAGGTTCACACACACACATGGGGCAGGGGCATCCCTGAGCTCCTGATTGTAAAGGTAATATCCCTCCGAGGTTGGAACTGCTTTGAAACAGCTTGCCATTTTAGTATGGTTACGTGGGAATCTTGGGAGTCAAAGTTCCTGGGAGTCCAATGATAAGCCTTGACTCAAAATGGTGAATGGGAATATGGTGCGACCTTTTAAGTGGAAGATGCCCCTAACTTTGCTCCTTCAACCAGACAATATCATAATGGATGAGATAATCATCATGCTGGATCCACATAGTCTGTCTTATGGGATAAGAGACACGGGGTCCTACAAAGTAGCCCAAGTCTGGCTGGACTGGACTCATTCATTTAGACTTGTGATAATGGCCTCCAAAGCAGTTAGTCTTGTGACTTACTGTAAGAAGGAATGCTGATGAAAAGTCAACCAAAACAACAATCATGACTTCTGGTCTCTCTGTCCTGGGGAAGGCTCATGAGCTCCAGGAGTCAGAAGGTGGGGAGGGGGGAACACAACCTCCCTCTCCGTGTGATGTCCTCCATAATGCCTATCCCCCACATC